TTTCCTGATCCTAAGTAGTATTGTCGTCTTATTAGTCTATTGTTGTATTTGAATTTTACAAGGTCAGATATCAATTATGTTGTTAATCAACTTAGCTAGTTTATAGAATCACCAATATGTATTCAATGGGATGCTGCTCCTCACATCTGCAGGTACCTCAAAGGCTCCCTTGGATTGTTTTATCCATCCTCAAGTAATCTTTAGCTGGATGCTTACTCAAATAGTGATTGGGCCTCTTGTCCTAAAACCAGACGCAACTTAACTTGCTATTGTAATTTTTTTAGGCTCTTCATTTATTTCTTGGAAAATAAAGAAATAAAACACCATTTCTCGATCTTCTTATGAAGCTGAATATCACAGCATGACCAATATTATTTATGAACTTACGTGGCTTTCTTACCTTTTTTCTGATCTTCAATTACATTTCCAACTTCCCATTCCCTTGTGATGTGACGATAAATCCGCCATGCATATCACCGCCAACCTTGTGTTCCATGAAAGAACAAAGCACATCGAGATTGACTACCATATTGCTCGCAAGAAATATAAGGATGGTTTTATTTTGCCGCATTACGTTTCCAATCATATGCAACTTGTAAATATTTTCACCAAGTCCCTTAGTTTGCCTCAATTCAATGCCATCACTTCCAAGTTGGGTTTGCTTGATCCTCATCAAACTCCAACTTAGAGGGGGATGTTATTTGTATGTTTTTAGTTTCTGTTATATTTTTTTTTTGTATTTTCATCATCACAATGCTCACAGGTAGGAAGTTTGTTATTTTATAGAATAAACTAGACATATTTTAGAAGTTGAGGTGTTTTTATTTCATTAGACTAGTTTGTTATACCTTCTGGTATATAATCACTCTCTTGAATGTAAAATATTTTTCAAGATCAATAAGATTTTTTTCTCTGTTTTTCTTCATTAATCAAATACTTTTCTTTAAGTTATTTATATCTTGTACATATATTTTTTTAACATACTATTATCGTAAATTACTGCATAATTTAATTTAAGATAAAAAAAATATAATGAAGTATAAAAAAATACAAATGAAAAGAGAGATTTCATTTGGAGCTTCCCTATGAGGTATTTTCATATAGAATAATAAAAACTTTATTTTAAAAAAATAAATAAATAAATCAGATATTATGTGTATTTTTAATGAAACAGATAAGACCTGCTATGAAGTTACTAACATGCCCTTCTTCACACTCTCACTAACCGGCCGAAAATTACAATCCTATCTTTCACTGCACCAACTTGTCAGACGACGCCATTTTGGCTTTTCTTCTCTGTTGTTGAAACAGAAACCCTCTGTCTGGAATCTCTATGACCGTCCAGTAAATTTGAGGGACGATACAGAAACCCTAGCTGGTCTCCCGACGCCTTCAAATGAGCACCAGCAGTATTATAGCAACAACACCGTCACAAAATGCTTGGGTTGATTCCTACCAGAAATTCCTTCCTCAATGGCAATCCTTCACCCTTTCTCATCAGGTTGAACTAAAATTCATATTCTTTGTTTTATGTAACTATCTTTTCCATGTTTATGCATATTAGCTCCCGTTATAGTTTCTCTACAACATTTTGTTAGCTTTTCTGCTTATTTTCTTATTGCTTTCATTTACTGGACTGGAAAATCTTGTTCCGAGCTAGTTTCTTCCTGTTTCCTCGTTTGATTTTTTTGTGGGGTGGCTTTATCTCATGTATCGAACATTAATTGAATTTTTTTAGGAACATTCCTAATTGATTTCTGGAGGGAGTGATTCCTTGAGATTTTTAGTTTATTTCATGTGATGAAGTGTATTAGCGACTTGTGATTTTTATTTTTTTTTCTATTTAACTTGATGTAGTGTAGGGTAATCTAAATTGGAAAGTAGTAAGACTGGAATAATCTGAATTGCCCTAGTTTTGTTGGTAAATAATAAACTTTCAGGAGTTTTGGGAACTATAAGATTTCTCTAATTCTTAAAAGAAAAGAAAAATCCTTTGTCAATTTTCTTGTCCCATGTCTCCTGAGTTGTACGAGCCATGTTTGACTTCAAAGTTCATATCCATATGTTGGGAAAGACTGACAGTGGGTACGAATGGTATGGTTGAATATTTAGATTTTGTGGAGTCTCTTTTTCCTTCTGCTGTTGATGCTTCTAAATGGTTTTTTCTATGGCAGGCAATAATACCTATTACCATATCTAGAGTTAATCAGTTTGATGCTGCAAGATTGGATGTTGAAATGTCAGCTATGTTAAAGGAACAGTTAGTTAAGGTCTTCTCTTTAATGAAGGTATCTGTATTTTGTTATTGAAACAGTTAGTACTAAGCTGTTGATGTGTAGCTTTTTGCTTTGAGTTCTGTTTAATTTTTTTTTATTCACTCTTGTTGGGATTAGCCAGGAATGCTATTTCAATACGAACCAGAACTTGATGCATTCCTTGAGTTTCTCATCTGGAGATTCTCAATTTGGGTGGACAAGCCTACTCCAGGAAATGGACTTATGAATTTGAGATATAGAGATGAACGTGCAGTGGAAACAAGAGGGAAAGGTAAGAAGGTCTGGAATCCACTCTTATGCTGCTAGTTAGAGAAACTGGCTGTTTATGTTGGTTCAATTTCTCTTTCTTTGGTAACAGCAAAAACCCTGCTGATTCTTTAAATTTATGGATGCATATCCATAATAATATGTAGAGTGATTATAATGAGACTTGCTTGAAACTATTTTCCTAACTGCAACAAAAAAGTAGGAGCTCTAGCTGCATTTTCTTAGGATTAATCTCGTTGCTTAATACATGTGGATGTATGAGCATTAGGCACTCTGTACCAATTGGAAGGGTGGAAATGACTGATTTATACCAATGGTTTCACTTGTGAATCACTTGCAATCAGAATGAAGATAAGCTTGTTGAATCATGTCCTGTATAACGGTTGTAATTGCCACTTTGAGGAATGTTTTCTTGTTTCTTGTTCTGCATGTTCCTCCTGTGTGGAACTTACATGGCCTTATTCTGGGACTCAAAAGGAAAGATCCTGGCCTGATGTAATTATAAGTTCTATTTGTTTTTATTTGAAAAGTATGATTAAAATTCTTGAGGCATGGGTTGAATTCTCAAAGAACCACTTACTGTTCTGCTTCTTAATTATTTTCTTTATCTTTAATCATCTTTATAGTATCTCTATAGTTTTTTTTTTAAATTTTAATTTTTGTTTTGTGTGCTTCCTACAGTCAGAACAGGTTTAGAAGGACCTGGACTTACTATTGCTCAGAAGATTTGGTATTGTGTTGCCACTGTTGGTGGTCAGTATATCTGGGCTCGTTTACAATCATTCTCTGCTTTTCGTAGGTGGGGTGATTCTGAGCAGGTAGTAAATTTCTGTTCTATCTCTATGTTGTTTTCTATTGAGAAGTTTCTTAGTTCTTTCTTTGTCTGTCAGAGGCCATTGGCGAGGCGAGCATGGATTTTGATACAACGTATAGAAGGACTTTATAAAGCTGCCTCCTTTGGCAACCTACTCATATTTCTTTGCACAGGAAGGTACACTTCTTTATTTTGATGATATTGGAGATAGATATGTTGGAAGCTTATTTTTAGAAAAGGAGCACATAAAAACAAGATTGACACTAAAAATATTCTACAAATTCGTGCACCATTGTTCTTTTGTTGAGGAAGGCACATTTTTTATGCTGCACTTATTACTAATGAGGTGGAGGAGAAGGTAGTAGATTGAGAAGTAAGAGTTGTTATTTAAGTCTGGCGTTGAGAAGGCTTATGATAGGGGGAATTGGGGGGTTCTTGAATAAGCTGATGGTTAGAAAGGGTTTTTGGGGCTAGCTAGAGAAGTTTGATTTTAGGTTGCATTTCTTCAGCATCTTTAACTATTGTGGTGAATGGTAAGCCTATATGATGGTTCCAGACGTGCAATGCAAAGGAGTAATTGGGATTCTAAGTGTGTGTTGACAGATTGATAGAACAGAGGTTTCCCAACTCTACTTTCTTCGAGATCCTTTTCCTTTCCAGTGACTGTGATGGGTTCTTTAATGTCTTTTTTTGCATATGTTTGAGAGTATTCCAAGACTGGTATAGTCTCAAGAAGAGCGGCCTTGAGGGCATTGTAACACCCCAATTATTATATTATTATTAGTATTATTTTATTTTGATTTTTTTTATAATTTTATATGAATATATGAATTTTTATATAGTTTTAATTTAGTTTAATTTAATTAAATAGAAATAATAATAATAATAAAAAGGGGTAAAATTATTTTAGAGATTTAATTGAAAGCGATTTTGAAAAAAAGGGGTGAAAATTTGGGTTCTGTGGGTATTTTTGAAAGAAAATTTGAAAATCGGGGTCAAAATGCAATTTAGAAAAATTATCCCACGTCAGCTGTCCGGTCAGCAGCTCTGTCCAACAGAACGCGCCGCATGGCAGAGACATTGACGCGGCAGGCCACGCGGAAGGCAGCCATGTGGGCGATTCGCGTGCACAGACGGCCCAGATTGCACTCGAACGGCTAAGATCCATTCCCGCGCGCACAGACGGCCCAGATTGCACTCGTACGGACGACCCAGATTGAATCGCGCACAGACGACCCAGATTGCATCGCGATGAACGACGCATATTCATTTTCTTTTTAATCGCGATCGGACGGCTTATATTAAATCGTGATGGACGGCTCAGATTAAAAGCAGAAGGTTATAAATAATCTCATCCACACCCAAACCCTAACCCTAGCTGCCAAAGCCTCGCCGGAGAAGACAGCCAAGCCACCGGGGAGCCGACCGCCGCCACCCGCCGCCGCACCAGAGCACTTTCCGGCCGCCGAACGAGGTAAAAATTCTCCCCTTGGCTCAGAATTCGATTCTAAACCCACCTGTGGCCAAATTGAAGCCAAAACATCGGCTAATTGGCCGGAAAATGCCATCGAAGCCCAGCGGCGCTGCTGCGGGTTTTCTCGATTTTTGCCTCCAATGAGGCTCTTCCCGATTCCCGTTCGATGTAATTTTTACACCATTGTGACCATCGTTCCTTCTTCTACAGGTTGACTGGAGGAAAACACTAAATCGTGACTCGAGCCGGAAGAGCTGCCGCATTGGAGAGCCCCGCCGTCGGTAAGTTTCGGTTTTTTGTGTTTTTTCGGCCCACCGAGGGCACTAGGGGTGTTTTCTCACAGGAACCAATGCAAGTTTGGCCGAATTCGGCCGAAAACGGCCAAACCGAGGCGGATCGCCGCCAAAACACGGCAGGCGCCGTGCTGGAATTTCAAAATTTGCCAAATAGGCCTCGAGTCTGATTTTTGAGTTATTTGGGATATGTGTCGGTACCGTAAGCGTGTTTCAGTTCCCGAGAGAAAATTTAGGGAATCTAAGGACTGCCCGTAGGCGTAGTGAAAAAATCCGATTTTCGACTTTGAATCAGGTAAGGATCCCTCACCTTATTTCCTATCACGGGATTAAAGTTTAATAAATGATAAAACTGTATTTTATGAATTAAATAGATATACGTAATTATTACAGTTGCTAATGGAGCCCCGAACCGGACATATTTCTCTGTCAGTTCATGTTTTATTTATTTTACAGTCTAAATGCAGTATAGTTTCTGATCTATTTATTTATTTTACTTCATTATGGTTTGATTTCATGAATTCGATGATATGCTTGACTTGTTGGATGCTCGTTACTTGTTTAAGTAATCATGTTTATGTGAAAAATAGAAAACTAAAAAAAAAATAGAAAAAGTATGTGAATTGATAAATGGATAAGTTGACAGCCTCACTAGATATCCTGGGAGATAGTGGACGGATCGGGTCCATAGGGAACCCTACTGGGAACATTGTCTCATACCAGATGGGGTATGGAGATTTTAAATGTTTTAGCGCTCATACCGGACAGGGTATGAGGACGGCCCGCTTTACCCTCATACCGGACGGGGTATTGAGGTTTATTGTTTGGTGCCCATAACGGACAAGGTATGGGAACGGCCCTGGAAATTAAGTTTGTTAAGAGAATGGTTCACGTGTAGCGGGACCCTTATGGATCTCCATGGATACTAGTAGGCTGATGAAAAAGGGGGTAACTGTTGTTTGATGATTGAAATATAAAAGTATAACATGTACTATGATACAAATTATGTATGAATTCATGATATTTATGATGTTACTGTTTCCATGAGTCGTTTTTATAAATCCCACTGAGGTAAGTGGACGATAAATGGTTTGATTATAGATAAATAAATTTTCTTGAAACTTGTGCTCCATTGGTTGTCTTTGGTTTTCTACCAACGTTTACTTCTGTGACAGTGATATAGTGTGATGTCTTTACTGAGTTAGTGTAGGTCATTCCTTACTTAACCATTTCAGATCAGGAGGGCTTGGTTCCCGAGCCCGATCTACAAGAAGACAGCGAGTAGATATCTAAATGTTTATTATTTTCTTTTATAGTCTTTCATTTTCAGTATTTTCCTTTAGAAGACTTATTTTTGGTATTGTTAGTACGTTTCAGTTATTGTGTAAGAGATATTAACCAGAACTCTTTTATTTCTCTTCCGCACTTATATTCTTTATATACATTTTCTTTTTAAATTTCCGGGGTCGTTACAGTTGGTATCAGAGCCGTGTTCCTCGGACTCGTCCCTTACACAATGATACTTAGAGAAACACCAAACCAATGAATCATTGCTAAACCCTTCCTTGTGAAATGCAGGTGCAGAGAGATGAGAAGAGGAAGACCTCCACTAAACCGAGCAGCTCGGGATGGTTCGCTTCGGGAGGACGTTGACAGAATATTTGAGATGCTGGAGAGGCTCATTGCTGCCCAGCAGGGTCGAGAGGAGAGAAGGGAACTACCTGACCCTCCCCCACTGCCACAAGTTGAGCCACCACTGCAGCAAGAGAATCCCGAATCACCCCGGTACGAGCTTGCTCCGCCACAGTACTACCCGGTGCCATCACCGCAGTATAATCCGGTGCCCCAGCCACAGTACTGCCCGGCACCGCCACAGTATAATCCAGTGCCCCCACCATACCAGTCACCACATGGCTCCTCCCAGTTTATCCTCAGCCTGGCCCAGTTCCTCTTCTGCGGGATCCAGCTCCTTCCATGATTGACCCAAGCTACGTAAAGAGGTACAGGAGACTGAACCCATCCACTTTTGCAGGAGAATCCTCATTTGAAGATGTCCAGTATTGGTTGGCGGAGACGGAGAAGACTTTCAAGACCTTAGGAGTGGATCCCGAGCAGAGGGTCACCCTTGTTACCTACATGCTGGTGGGAGAAGCAGATCGTTGGTGGGAACTCAAGCAGACCACCCTGCCTGTTCCAGTTACTTGGGAACAGTTCTTAGCAGCCTTCTATGCAGAGTACCTCCCAGAGCACATCCGACATCTTAAGGAGATGGAGTTTGTCCAATTGGTCCAGGGGAACATGACGGTGTCAGAATATGCTCATAAGTTCCTAGAGTTAGACCAATATTCCCCTGAGACGTTGATGGATGAGGGCAGGAAGGCGAGGAGGTTCCAGTGGGGCCTCTGCCCAGAGATCAAGTAGCACTTATTTGTACTAGAGTTCAAGACATACTCAGCCATTCTGGCCAATGCACAGTTACTGGAGAGGAGCCTCCACACCCTCCCTCAGTCAGCAGGGAACTACAAACCCTCAGCTCCACTCCGCAGACCAGCACCTACTGCGCCTGTCCAACAGAACAAGAGACCCAGACCGGTGATCTAGGCTCCCCCTCAGGCTCCAGTGGCAGGGCGTGGTAAGATCTGTCAGCATTGCGGCAGAGATTAGGGGGGATCGACCATGTTACTGCCTTAACAACACCTGTCGTATATGTGGTAGTGCCCAACACTATGCGAGAGAGTGCCCAAGGAACCAGAATCAGGGAAGACCTCCTATCCAGGGTAAGGTTTACAACCTCATCCAGCAGGATGCCGATGCCGACCCGGATGTAGTACAGGGTATGTACACTATATGTAACCATTTTGCTCATGTTTTGTTTGACACTGGTGCATCGCATTCATTTGTTTCACCTGTTTTTGCATCCAAATTTAATGTATTGCTTGATAAACTTTATTCGATGTTAATTGTATCTACTGCTGGGAGTGCAACATTACTAAGAGAAGTTGTCTACAAGGCTTGTGCCGTGGAGATAGTAAATAGAAAAATGAGTGTAGACCTGATAGAATTAGACACAAGGGATTTTGATGTAATTTTAAGGATGAATTGGCTAGCGGCGTATCATGTCACCATTGATTGTTTTGGCAAAAATGTTGTATTCAATCCTTCAAATGGGGAGCCATTTACAATTGAATAAAATCATTTAGTACTTATTACTTGATGGCAATTTTCTTACTTGTCGAGTGCCTTAACCTTGTTATTTTCTCAAACTAGGCAAACCCAAGAAAGAGAATTGTATTCAAGAGATCCCGATAGTCCGAGACTTTCCAGATGTATTTCCGGATGAGTTGTCAGGACTACCAGTAGACAGGAAAGTCGAGTTCACCATAGACCTACAGCCTGACACCCAACCTATT